GGCTCACTGCAGCCCTCCACCTCCCGGGTTCAAGTGATTCTCCTGCCTCAGCCTCCTGAGTAGTTGGGATTACAGGTGCATGCCACCATACCTGGCTAATTTTTGTACTTTTAGTAGAGATGGGGTTTTGCCATGTTGGTCAGGCTGGTCTCGAACTCCTGACCTTGTGATCCACCCATCTCGGCCTCCCAAAGTGCTGGGATTATAGGCGTGAGCCACCATGTCCTGCCTCTTTCTCTTCTTCTTAATGGAATACCACTTAATCATCTTGCATACCTACTATTTTCTGAAACACTTTGGCAACCACTATATTAGGCCAGTCTGTTTTCTTTGGACCTCAGTTTCCCCATTTGTTGAAATTAAGGGTTTGGGCATCCCACCACAATGGCATAACTGGTACTTGACTTGCCTTCTAGCTGTAAGCAACCAGAAATCCAGCTGAAGTATAGGAATCAATTGCTTTCAGACACTGAACTATAGGGAGCTCAGGACTGTGGTTCCTGAGAGCAGAGAAACAAATGAGATGAGTCCGTCTTCAAACCATGGCACAGGAAGGTGGAACGCAGGTACAATGGGGCAGCCTCCATGACCTGGCTGGAGTTTGGGGAAGTTGAGCTCATCAGGGGGTCTCCTGATGATCCTGCCTTCATTCTGCCAGTTAGTCGTTGAGTGGGAATTCTAGGCTGCGGAGAGGCTTCTCACAGGGAGGGTCATTTCAGCCGAGAGTTGAAGGATAAGTATTAGTTCATCAGGCAAGAAAAGTAGGGTCGGAGGGGTTTTGGAGGGAGAAGGCAAAGGGAGGAGGGGCAGGTGTCTAGGCCCCACTAACTCTCCCCCACTGGTCCCTGCCAGCTTAGTCTAAGCAGAGATTGGCTCGAAAATAGGGGGAGGGCTGGACTTGAATAAGCCCCTTGCAGCCTCACCCAGGACTGGAGGAGGGACGTGAGTACAGGCATGCACCACACGATGAAGTTTTGGTCAACAGTGGGCCACATACACCATGTGGTCCCATAAGATTACAACAGAGCTGAAAAACTCTTATCACCTAGTGACATTGTAGTCGTCATAATGTCATCATGCCATGCATTACTCACTTGTTTGTGGTGATGCTGGAGTAAACCTACTGTACTGCCAGTTGTAAAAAAGTCTAGCACATACAAATATGTGCAGTACATAATAGTTAATAACGACTGCGTTACTGGTTTATGTATTTAATATACTATACTTTTAATCGTTATTTTAGTGTGTACATATTAAAAAAAAAGTTAACTGTAAAACGGCCTCTGGCAGGTCCTTCAAGAAGTGTCCCAGAAGAAGGCACTGTTTTCATAGGGGATGACAGCTACGTGTGTGCTGTTGTCCCTAAGGACCTTCCAGTGGGACAAGATGTGGAGCTAGAAGACAGTGATGCCAGTGATCCTGACCCTGTGCAAGCCTAGGCTGATGTGTGTGTTTGTGTCTTCATTTTTAACAAAAAGATTTTAAAACAGAAAAAAGTACACAGAATAAGGATAAAAAACATTTTTGTATGGCTGTACTATGTGCATTTATATTAAGCTGTGTTATTACAAAAGTCAAAAAATGCAAATGAAAAAATTTCAGTAAGCTAAGGTTAATGTATTTTTGAAGAAAGAAAAATATTTTTAAATAAATGTATTGTAGCTTAAGCATACAGTGTTTATAAAGTCCACGGTAGTGTACAGTAATGTCCTAGGCCTTCAGATTCACTCACCAGTCACTCACTGACTCACCCAGAGCAGCTTCCAGTCCTGCCAGCTCCATTCATGGCAAATGCCTTATACAGGTATTTTTTTGGGACAGAGTCTCGCACTGTCGCCTGGGCTGGAGTGCCGTGGCATGATCTCGGCTCACTGCAAACTCTGCCTCCTGGGTTCAAGCGGTTCTCCTGCCTCAGCCTCCCGAGTAGCTGGGATTACAGGTGTCCGCCACCACACCCAGCTAATTTTTTGTATTTTTAGTAGAGATGGGGTTTCACCATGTTTGCCAGGCTGGTTTCAAACTCCTGACCTTGTTATTCACCCGCCTCAGCCTCCCAAAGTGCTGGGATTACAGGCTGAGCCACTGAGCCCGGCCCATTTATTATATTTTATAGCGTATTTTTACTGTGCATTTTCTGTGATTAGATACAGAAATACTTACCATTGTGTTATAATTGCCTATAGTATTCGGTACAGGTTTGTAGCCTCAGAGCAATGGGCTATACCGTATAGCCCAGATCCATGGAGTAGGCATCTGGGTTTGTAAATACACTATGGTGTACGCACAAAGACCAAATCACCTAATGATGCATTTTTCAGAACACATCACTGTTGTTAAGCGATGCATAGCTATTAAGCAAGTGAATGGGAGCGCGTGTTCCAAGGCAGGTGTGGCTGCTTCTCAGTCCCAGGACCTGATCTCCAGGACCAGAGTGGGACGTCCTTGGGAATGCTGAGCAGAACAGCTGGGGACAGGGTGGTCCCGGGGGTTGGGGGGAGGATGGTTTCCCCAGGTGTGGGGCCACTGTGCACCTCTCCACCCGCTCCCCCATGGCTGTGGCCCTGCACGGGCTGACAGTGGAGCTGCCTGCGCAGAAGAAAGGCTCCCATTCCGGTGCCTGGGGTTAACCTGCAGAGGGGTTGGCAGCAGCTGCTAATTCCCGATTTGCTTGTCTTTGAATGGGGTAATTGCTGGGAGTTGCCAGTGTTCCAGATTGTTCTCTGGAAGACCGGGAGGAAGAAGGGGCTGTCATGGGCTCTGTGGAGTGCTGCCTTCTGCAGGCCATGCCGTGAAGCCTCACGGGGTGGAGTGAGGGGATAATGGAATCATAGTCTGGCAGAGCTGCAAGGGCCCTCGGAGGCCACCTGATCTGACCTGCATTCTACAGGTGGAACCCAGATTCAGAGGGAGGGGACGTGCCTGGGGCCACACAGGTGCTTGGCTCCAGTCAGCAAACCAGCCGTCCTTGGCATTGGCTGTGCCTCCCTGCCCCCCTAGTCCTTGAGTCTCTCTGGGGCTCCCCAGGCTGGGGCATGTGTGTCAGGAACCCCTTTGTCTTTCTCTTACTGCAGGAGACCAGCGCAGCGGTGGGGTCACTGAGGCCAGCAGCCTCCTGGGGGGCTCCCCGAGGCGTCCCTGTGGCCGGAAGGGCTCCCCATACCACACGGGGCAGCTGCACCCCGCGGTGCGTGTGGCGGACCTTCTGCAGCACATCAACCAGATGAAGACAGCTGAGGGCTACGGCTTCAAGCAGGAGTATGAGGTGCACGCTGGCCCCGGCCAGCAGGACCCATGCGGAGGCCTAACCTGGCTCCCACTCTCTGTGGACTCTGACCCTTGCCACCCTCAGCCTAGCCCTGGTTGGACCTTTGCTCTGACAGTTCCCAACTCAACCTTTTTGACCTTGACTCTGACTCTCATCCTGATTTCAGACTGATACAGTTTTTCATTCTCACGCTAACCGTGGTTTGAAATCTGACCTTGAATCTTGTCTCCCTCTCTGTGTGGATCGTGATCAGGATCCTTATTCTGTCCCTAATCTGAACCTGCCCACCGACACTGACCTTGACCTAACCCCAGCCTGGCACTGATGTCATGCTAAGCTCCATTTGAACCCTGTGTATCATCCCACCTCTGTCTGGACTCTGACACTGCCTGTATCCTAATCTAAATCTGACCCCCACCTTTACCTTCTTTCTAACCCTTATTCTAAGCCTGACCCTTATTCTAAAATGTCTTTGAACCCTGACCCTCTTTTCCCCTTTTCTCATTTCCCTTCCCTCAACGCGCCTTGGTTTTAACCGTGGTCCCTGGACACACAGTGACACAATGACTTTATCTCAGGCCGAAGTTCAGCTTGAACCTCGCCCTTATGGTTCCACCCCCATCCTGCCTACATCATCCCCATTGAGGGGAAAGGGCCCTATGATTGCGGGCCCCTCTTCCTCACTGACCACCACTTTCCCTTCTGGTAGAGCTTCTTTGAAGGCTGGGATGCCACAAAGAAGAAAGACAAGCTCAAGGGCAGCCGCCAGGAGCCAATGCCTGCCTGTGAGTCCTAGGGAAGGGCCTGGGGTCCAGGGCAGTGGGCAGAAGGGCATCAGGAGAGGGAGGCACAGCCAGGGTGAGCCAGGGAAGCCGCAGAGATGATAGCAGCATTGGCCACCTTTATTGAGGGTGCACGCCATGCCCTGTGCTTTTTTCATTTGTTCCCCTTAATTCCCCTCTGAAGTGGGAGATACTGTAATCCCCATTTTACAGATAAGGAAACTGAGGCTTGAGAGGTTAAGATTCCTGCTCAAGGTCTCAGAGCTAGTAATTGCCTGAGCAGCATACACCCTTGGGCCTGCTTGACTCCACAGCCCAGACTCTACCCCTGGCATGCCCTGTCTCCCATGGTGCTCAGAGCCTACTGGTAAGCCCTGAGGCTCTAGGTTCCCTGGCTGCCCTGCCTGTGCCCCATCCCTGGCCTCCAGGAATCCCTCCCTGACTGCCCAGCTCTGGGCTCCCCAGTTCAGCCCCTGCGTACCTGCTTTGTGTTTACAGATGATAGGCACCGAGTGAAACTGCACCCGATGCTGGGAGACCCCAACGCCGACTACATTAATGCCAACTACATAGATGTGAGTGCCTTGCCCTGTCATTTCTGCAGACCTGGCCCTGCCCACTCCAGGCTTACTATCCAGGCAGGGCAGAAACCTATCGGGATAAATGGGGATTTAAATGGCTGAGTTCATAGTGCCCCCATCTCTGCAGTCAGTGCCAGGGAGCTCAGAGCAGGGAGTACAGTGGGCAGCAGCTTCTGGAAGGCTTCCTGTAGGCTGGAGTTGGCCTGAGAGATGAGGTGCTTTAGGGAAGCAGAGTGAAGGGAAGAGGCAGGCAGCCAGGCCGAGAGGCGAGGAAGGCGGGAGGCATGGAGGGCGGGATTCTCACTGTGCACCGTGAGGCTGAAGAGGTAGGCAGGGCTGGATTGTGAAGGCTGCAAATGGCAGGCTCAGCAGTGGGGGCTTTTTCCTAGGGGCACCGGGGAGTCGTTAAAGTGTTTTGACCATGATCAGAGTGGTCCGTTAAGAATAACAACGCACATTTATCCAGCACATACTGGGTGCCAAGCACTGTGCTAAGCACTTTATACCCAAGATGTCCTTTTCTGTAATCCTTCCACCCACCCTCCGAGGCAGTTAGCACCATGACCTCACTTTAGAGGTGAGGAAACCTGAGCTCAGAAACGAGAAGCTACTTGTCCCAGGTTGCACAGCTAGTGAATGGTAAATAAAGGACTCAAATCTCAGCCTGTCCGTGTCTTGAAAGCCTTTGCTACTAACTGTGAGGCTGTCCTGCCACCTGCAGCAGCAGCAGGACTTGGATGGTGGGCGGGGCGTGCGGGCAGAGACAGCGCAGGCAGCCGGGAGGCCTAGGCTTGGGCGTCAAGGAGAGGTGATGAGTCTACTCCCTAGGTATGGAGGAGGGGTGAGACGGGGCAGGGCCTCCAGTCCCTACAGCAAACCAAGTTTGGGAGAGCATCATTTAATCATGTACGAAATATATTTTGAACACTTCCTTTGTGCCACACATTGTGCTGGGCACCAGGGGTAGAGATGTGAACAAGACAGTCATGGCCTCTGCTTTCCTTGAATGTATCCATTCAAGTGGGTGAGACAGACATGTCTACACATCAAAATGACTTAAGTTAGCTGGCCGGGTGCGGTGGCTCACGCCTGTCATCCCAGCGCTTTGGGAGGCCGAGGAGGGTAGATCATGAGGTCTGGAGTTCAAGAATAGCCTGGCCAACATGGTGAAACCCTGTCTCTACTAAAATATAAAAATTAACCAGGTGTGGTGGCGCGCGCCTGTAATCCCAGCTACTCGGGAGGCTGAGGTGGAAGAATCGCTTGAACCCGGGAGGCGGAGGTTGCAGTGAGCAGTGATCGGGCCACTGCACTCCAGCCCGGGTGACAGAATGAGCCTCCGTCTAAAAATAATAATAATAATAATAATAATAACAACTTCAGATTAGATGAGGAAGCGCAGGCCAGAAGAGAGGTCACACAGCTTGAGTGTTACACAGCAGGCTAGTGGCAGAGCCGGGGCTGCTACAGAGGGCTTCGTGGAAGAAGCAGGCCTGGAGCTGGCTCTAGGTGGCTGGAGAGGAGAGGGAAGGGTGTCCTGGGGGGGTGCTGCCTAAGCAAAGGCCTGGGGGTCAGGTGGAGCAAGGCGCAGGTCTGGAACCGAGGTAGTCAGGGCCTCTGGAGTTGGCCTCTACTCTCCCTCTTTTTCTCCGCCTCCTGAGGCCAGATGTGCCACGCCATGCTTCCCAGAATCCCTTGCTGCCTCCCCCACCCATCCTGTCCCTTGGCTGGAGTCAGGGCCAGGCCCAGCCTTACAGACATGGGCAGCTTTGGTGACAATGGGCCTCTCCTTAGTCTTGCCAAGGTCCCAGTTGGCTTCTCTTGGGCCCTGGCAGGGACATGCCACCCCCCACTCTGGCTCAGGCCGGCTTGGCCTGCCCGTCTCTGCTCTGCCTGCCCTGCTCGCATCACCCATTCTGGCCACTCCTGGGCTCCGTCCACTTCCATCTGCCTCTGGCCTAATATCTGTCTCTTTTGCTTTGTACTGTTCCCTCACTGGAATCATTAAGATTCGGATAAACCGAGAAGTAAGTATCTCTCTCCCCACCTCCTACTCCTCCACTACCTCCTCCTCCTCCCTCTCCTCCTCCTTCTCTCCCTCTTCCTCCTGTCTGTCTGACTGGCTGTATCTCAGACTGTCTCATAGTCTCTGGCTGTCTCTCTCTCTTGTCTCTGTCCTTCCTTTCTACTTGTGTGCCCAGCACCAACTGTCCATTTCAGAGCCTGGCCAGGGGCCTCCCAGGGCTGAAGATTGGAGAGTGTTCCTATTGTAAGCAGTTCCCTCCCATCCTCCGCTGCCTTGAGCAGAGGCAACAGTGTTGGGGGTGCTTCCCCTGCCCCATTTTTCACTGGTCACCACTGTCTGTCACCCTCCTTCCCTGGCCCTGCCATTTCCAATGAGTCCTCCATAGCTGTACCTTCTATAGGACCCTTTGGGGGGTACAGGGGAAGTTGCCCTGGAGGGCCCTGTTTCTGCTGCTTAAGGGTCAAGATCTTGGACAGCCCCAGGTCAGCCCCCTAAAACTACTTTCCCTAGGGTTCAAATACCTTTGCGATCAGTTTGACTGAAACTCAGCCCCAACCATTTTACCCTCAATTTAGCATTAATTTGAATGTTTTTTGGTGGGAGCAGTTTGGATGTTCTGTTTTTTAAAATTATGCCATCTTTTAGCCTTTTTTTTTCTTTGAGACTGAGTTTTCCTCTTGTTGCCCAGGCTAGAGAACAGTGGCATGATCTCGGCTCACTGCAGCCTCCACCTCCTGGGTTCAAGTGATTCCCCTGCCTCAGCCTCCTGAGTAGCTGGGATTACCGGCATGTGCCACCATGCCTGGCTAATTTTTGTATTTTTAGTAGAGACGGGGTTCACCACGTTAGTCAAGCCATTCTCAAACTTCCGACCTCAGGTCATCCAACCGCCTTGGCCTCCCAAAGTGCTGGGATTACAGGCATGAGCCACTGAGCCCGAACATCTTTTAGCTTTTTAAAATTAAAAAAACTACCCCAATTCATCTAGCTATTCTCTGGTTTTATTTCTTTTTTCTTTTTTTTTTTGAGACAGGGTCTTGCCCTGTCACCCAGGCTGGAGTGCAGGAGTGCGATCATGGCTCACTGCAGCCATGAACTCCTATGCACAAGCAATCCTCCCTCTTTAGACTCCTGAGTAGCTGGGACTACAGGCATGTGCTGCCATACCCAGCTAATTTCCGCCCCCACCTTTTTTTTTTTTTAAAGAGATGGGGTCTTCTCAGCGCTTTGGGAGGCCAAGGCAGGCAGATTGCTTTAGTCCAGGAGTTCGAGACCGGTATGGGCAACATAGTGAGACCGTCTCTACAGAAAAATGTAAAAATTAACTGGGTGTGGTGGCTCATGCCTGTAGTCTCAGTTACTGGGAGTCTGAAGTGGGAAGATCACTTAAGCCCGGGAGGTGGAAGTTGTAGTGAGCCGAGGTCATGCCATTGCTCTCCAGACTGAGCAACAGAGCCAGTTCCTGTATCAAAAAAAAAAAAAAAAAATAATAAAATAAAGAGAGAGAGAGATTGAGAGAGAGAGAGAGAGAAAGAGAGGTGGGGGGGTCTCACTATGTTGCCTAGGCTGGGATTTCTATTTATTTTTAATTTTAATTTTTACCATTTGAGATGGAGTCCCACTCTATCACCAGAGTTTTGACTATGTTTTGGTCATTTTCGTGGGAACAGTGAGCAGGCTGGAGTGCAGTGGCGCACTCTTGGCTCACTGCAACCTTTGCCTCTGGGTTCAAGCAATTTTCCTGCCTCAGCCTCCTGAGTAGCTGGGTCTACAGATGTGCGCCACCATGCCCGGCTAATTTTTGTATTTTTATTAGAGACGGGGTTTCATCATGTTGGCCAGGATTGTCTTCATCTCTTGACTTTGTGATCCGCCCACCTCCGCGTCCCAAAGTGCTGGGATTACAGGCATGAGCCATTGCGCCCGCCTGGGATTTTTAATATGTGTATAATATTTTCATAATATTTAATGACTGATGCGATTATTTGCTACTCTGTGGGTGCTTTTCCATTTTGTCTGCTTTTCCCTTTAAAAAATATGTTTCTTGGCAGCCACTCATGCCTATAATTCAGTACTTTGGGAGGCTGAGGCAGGAGGATTGCTTGAGTCCAGGAGTTAGACCAGCCTGGGTAACATAGTGAGACCCTCATTTCTACAAAAGAAAAAAAAATATTAGTTGGGTGTGGTGACCTGTGCCTGTAGTCCCAGCTACTTGTGAGGCTGAGGTGGGAGGACTGCTTGAGCACTGGAGGTCCAGGCTGCAGTGGAGACAGTGGCTTGGAGCGACAGCTGGAGGGAATTGGGCTAGACCTGGAGAAGTTCCAGTGGAGAGGGCTGAGAGTTGCTGGAAGGCTTTTCATCATAAGTCACTTTGGTTTTCATGGGAACAGTGAGCAGGTGCCCAACAGAATCTCTGAGTGTTCGTCTTGCTCTTATCCTCATATTGCAGAGGAGAACAAGGCTTAGAGAGACTGAGAGGGGGCCGGCAAGATAGACACCATGTGGGGGCTGGTGATGCATAAGCGCAGCCCCACCCCAGACCTTTGAATCTGACTCTGCCTTTTAACAAGATCCCCAGAGATGTATGTGCTCAAGAAAGACTGAGAAGCACCCTCTTTACAGGGCTCAGTTACACAGCGACTACGCGGCAGAGACCCAGGTCCATTCAACTCCGAGACTCAGATTCTTCATAGTCACCTTCTGCCCCAGCAGTTCTTGACTTCCATTTGGTCCACTTGATCCATTTGTATCTTCAAGGATACTGTTTCAGCTTTAAAACAGTAGAAGTAGTAGTAATAGTGGCTCTTACTGATTAAGCACTCATTTTGTACTAGACACAGCGGCAGACATTTAGTGTATTACTTTATTTGCTCCTCACAGCAGCCCTCAGAGGTAAATGCTGTAATGGCTCCATTTTATAGACATGAAAATGGAGGCATAGAGAAATGAAGGGGCTTTTGCTCAAAGGCACACAACTAGTGAGAGGTAGAGCTGAGATTTGAACCTTGGCAGTCTGACCCCTGGGCTCCTCGGGCCTGGGAAGTTCATGGGACCGGCAGAGTGGTTGGGAGCCATGTGGAAGGTGTCAACTTGAGGCAGGGGGCTGGGCTAGTTTTCTGGGCGCCAGCCCTGCAGTACTGATTCCCCTTTCTGCATTGCCTGCGTTGGTGCCCTGGGTATCTGGTGAATTCTTGTGCTCAGAAAGATGAGGCCTTGTGGCAGGACCTCCTGGGTGGCTGTGGCCCTGGGGTGGCTTGTGGGGGCGGCGGGTTTCTCTCCTCAGCTTGGGGGCTCTGGGGATGGAGGGTGAAGTAGCTCTTGGCCTCTCTCTTATGGGAGGTGGTACAGGGAAAGTGCTTAGCACAGTATGTGACTATAACAGGGTCATTATTACTGATTTTACAGGTTTAAAATGTTATCTAAGGGCCATGAGCAGTGCCTGTGTCCATACGTTCCTATCCTGAAGCCCTCATCTAGGCCCTCCACGCCCTGAGTGACTGAGGAGTCGGGGAGGGTACTGTCCTTTCTGGTTATCCCAAGTGGGGCTAAGATAACTGACAGGCTCTGGTTACCCCACATTTGGGAGCCGGGTTCATTAGAGCTTCTGGAACCCTGGGAACAGGGCAGGGCCATCTGGGACTCTGTCTCCCAGCAGCAGCCTGGCTGAAAGCAGATGCCTCTTTCCACTTCAGGGCTGGGGGTTCCTGTAGGCCCACAAAGGAGTTATGTCCTCCTTGGGGTTGCACAGCCAGGTTGGATTCAGCCCGTGACTCTGCTGCCCCAGCTGCACTTCTCCACCTTCCTGGAGACTGGGGGGGCAAGGCCCCCCTGGTTAGGATGTCCTAGGGATGTGAGGGGATCAGTTCCCTGGTGGGGTGGGGGGTCTGCTGCCGAGAGGGGAGGACAGAGGAGTGTGAGGGAGTGAGGGCTGCTCCATGGGGTCTAACCTCGTCCTCTCCTCCTGTTCCAGGGTTACCACAGGTCAAACCACTTCATAGCCACTCAAGGTACCTGCCACCTCTGCCCACATGCACCTTCCTGTGTGCCCCTGGCATGCTGGAATGCCCTCAGCCTGCCTTTCTGCCTCCCCTGCTGATCCACCTGGTTTCCTGAATGTCCCCCCGCACATTCTGGCCCCCTGTTTGTCTGCTCCCTGTTCTGCTGGGCCTCTTGGAACCTGGCCAACTGCCTTTATGCCCTGTTTGTGTCTGTGTCTCTCTGATGTGCTCAGTCCACCTGCGGTTCCTGGTCCACCTGCCTGTCTCCAAAGTGGTGCATGCAGAAGGGCCGGCTGGGCTCAGACCTCATGGTGTGGGTTGGGCCTCTTGGTCTGGTGGCTGCCTGGGTTCTTCTGGCTGCATTTCTTTCTGTGACTGTCTGTCTGTCCTTCCGTCCTGGACACTTATGCTATTGCCCAAGCATCTGGCCCTCCTCCTGGATCCCAGTCAGCATGACCTGGCTCTTTAGCCAGGCCCTCTCCTGATAGGACCCCGCCTCAGGGCCCTACAGGTGTGCGTCAGCTGCAAGCTGGGCGTTGTGGGTGGCATGAAGCCCCCGCTGGGGCTCAGGAGGCCTCCTGGCCTGGGCCGTGGTGTTGGATGGTGCTAGATGTGTTGGCCTGGGGTGGAGAGCTTGTCTCAGGGACAGGCACCCTCTGCACCCTCAGGGCCGAAGCCCGAGATGGTCTATGACTTCTGGCGCATGGTGTGGCAGGAGCACTGTTCCAGCATCGTCATGATCACCAAGCTGGTCGAGGTGGGCAGGGTAAGCCGGGCTGTGGGGCGAGCTGGGGCACATGGCAGGCCAAGGGGGGCAGTGAAGAGCCCACTGAGTCCCATCTGGTGGGGCTTCCAGGTGAAGTGCTCACGGTATTGGCCAGAGGACTCAGACACCTATGGGGACATCAAGATTACGCTGGTGAAGACGGAGACCCTGGCTGAGTATGTCGTGCGCACTTTTGCCCTGGAGCGGGTGAGTCTCCCCGCCGCCCGGCAGAGGGTGCCTGGGCGGGGATTAGAGCCCACTCCCACTTCTCCCAGCCCTGGGAGCAGGAGGGTGAGGAGCGCGCCACTGCCCATCCCAGCAAGGCAGCTACTTGGTCACTGTTTGCTGGGAGCAGTGTGGAAGGGCAGGAAGGTAACTGCCTTCTCTGGTCCCCGTTAAGAGGAAGCCGAGACAATGAAGGGTATGATGGTGTCTGCAAGTGCTGGCTGCCACTCTGTGCTGAGCCTGTTACACGTACTGTTTCAGTCCTGGAGAGCTCTGTGGGATTGGGTGTTTACCACTAGCCCAGATAAGGAAAGTGAGGTTCAGAGGGCTTATGCCAGGCAGGAGACGCCGCATTGTGAGTGGCTGGCCCGTGAGTCCTGTGCACGATCCCATTTGATCTGCTCTGTAAAGTCCTCAGAGGAAAGATAGTTTTTTACACAACAGCCTGGTGGCAGAGGTGAGTATTTCGTAGCTCAGGTTTAGGCATCAGGCAGACCACTGTCTGTTTCTCTAACCTCGGGAAAGTGGTTTCTTCTCTTTGAACCTTAGTGTTCTCGTTTGTACCATAGGACATTAATACCTACTTCATTAATACATTGATCACTGGAATGAGCTGTGCCTGGCACACAGCAAGTGTCTAACAGATGCTGCCAGTGACTCTGACTGTTGCTCCCATTGTCTCTCCAGAGAGGCTATTCTGCCCGGCATGAGGTCCGCCAGTTCCACTTCACAGCGTGGCCAGAGCATGGCGTCCCCTACCACGCCACGGGGCTGCTGGCTTTTATCCGGCGCGTGAAGGCCTCCACCCCACCTGATGCCGGGCCCGTTGTCATCCACTGCAGGTGGGGTCAGCAGGGATCCCAAGGACAAGAGGGGCCCTTCTCCCTGGGAGGTTGGACTTGGGGTCAGGTTGGTTCCGGATCTGTGGCGGGGAGCAGGCCTGAGCTCTCCTGCTTAGAGACAGAGTACAGGAGGGAACGTCCCCCAAAGGCCCTGTCGCCTGTGAGCTTTGGCTCTGAGGCTCGTACCTCATGTACCCTACACGACCTGTAAAGCCCCTTGATCCAGGTGCTGAGGAGGCACTGGAGATAGGGCGGGGCCTGGGGGCTGGTGAGGCACCAGGCACGATTGAGTTCTGCCTGCTTTCATGAAACAAGCTAGGCCTGGCCTGGGGCTGGGAAGGACTTCGCTTCCCTCCACCAAACCCAGTGGGCCTCGCCCATCCCCCAGTCTTCACACCTTTTGCAGATCCCGACTGGCTCCTGTGACCCCAGGTGCCCTTCCTCTCTCCACCTCCTCCCTGGCCCCATATCTTTCTCTTGCTTCTTAAGTGGGGATCCAGCACCCTGTCCTGGCCTGGCCTCTGTCTCCTCCTGCAGAGCCAAAACTCCAGACTCGGAGGTTTTGTCCATGGCCTCTGTGTCTCATCGTGGTTCCTCTGCTGTGTTCTTACCAGCTCCCCAAATGCTGCATGGCAGAGTCGTTCTCTGTGCCCTGCCACCTAAACCAGCTTCTCTTTGATTTCTTTAGGCCTCTTTAAGATGCCATCTTTTAAAAACAAAACTTTATTGATCTATAATACACTTAAAGTGCAGAAATATGTTTATAAATATGAATTTTCATAAACTGAGCTCAGATTAAGAAACAGAACATTGGCTGGGCACAGTGGCTCACGCCTGTAATCTCAGCACTTTGGGAAGCCAAAGTGGGAGGATCATTTGAGGCCAGCAGTTTGAGACCAGCCTGGGCAACAGAGTGAGATCTCATCTCTACAAAAATAAAAATATTAGTGGTGGCGTGGTGGCACAAGCCTGTAGTCCCAGCTACCTGTGAGGCCGAGGCAGGAGGTTTGTTACAGTAAACTGTGACCGTAACACTGTACTCCAGTGTGGGCAACAGAGCGAGACTCTGCCTCTAAAAAAAAATTTTTTTTGAGAGCAAGTTTGCTCTGTTGCCAGGTTGGAGTGCAGTGGTGCGATCTTGCCTCCCGGCTTCAAGCGATTCTTCTGCCTCAGCCTCCTGAGTAGCTGGGACTACAGGTGCGCGCCACCATGACCCAGCTGATATTTGTGTTTTTTTTAGTTGATACCGGGTTTTACCATGTTGGTCAGGATGTATTAAAAAATTTAAGTAATGAAGTAAACAGAACTTGAATGGTTCCCAGAAGCCCCCTTGAGGCCATTTCTGGTGTGAATTGCCCCATCCCCACTCTTAGAGAAATCACTCCTGACCTAAACCACAGTCAGTTCCCCATGTTTTTGGACGTGTTATAAATAGAATCATACAGCATGTGCTCTTTGCTGTCTGTCTTCTGTCCCTCAGCCTTAGGCTTGTAAGGCTCATCCGCAGTGGATCATATTCCATCGAGTGAATAAATGACAATGTATTTGTCCATTCTGCCTTGATAGGCATTTGGGTTGTTTCCAGTCTTGAGCTATTATGAGTAATGCTGCTAAGGATATTCGATCGTATGTCTTTTGGCCAAGAAATGTATTTATTTCTGTGTGGTATGTACGTAGGAGTAGAACTGCTATCTGTGTGAACGTTCAGCTTTAGGAGATATTGCTGAACAGTTTTCCAAGGGGGTTGTGCTAAGTTAAGTCCCACCAGGGGTATATATGGGCTATTCAGTTGCTATATGTCCTCGCCAGCACGTGGATGCCACCATTGTCAAACCTGAAATCTCGCTGTTATCTTTGTCTGCTCTCCTTCCCACTCAGCTCTGCACAACTTTGTACGAGGACAAGGATCTTGACGTGCCCCCAGTCAAGTTGGGGAGACAGCCACATAAACAATGACCATGTAGCGGGAGGAGTGTTTAATTAATTACTTTTTCTTTTTTTGAGACAGGATCTTGTTCTGTCACTCAGGCTGGAGTGCAGTGGTGTGATCTCGGCTCACTGCAGCTTCCCCCTCCTGGGTTCAAGCGGTTATCCTGCCTCAGCCTCCCGAGTAGCTGGGACTACAGGCATGTGCCACCACACCTGGCTAATTTTTGTATTTTTTGGTAGAGACAAGGTTTTACCATGTTGGCCAGGTTGGTTTTGAACTCCTGACCTCAAGTGATCTACCCACCTCGGCCTCCCAGAGTGCTGGGATTACAGGTGTGAGCCGCTGTGCCTGACGGGGAGGAGTGTTTTAGTAAAAACCTGCCCACATTGCTTTGGGAACCCAAAATGATGACATCATCCTGGAAGGGTTAGGGATGCTCCAGTAGGTCTGCGAATGTTTGTGTGTGTGTGGGCTTTTGGAAGATGTGTAGGAGATTCGGTGGTTTCCAGGTGGAAAGAACATTCCTGGATAAGCTCGGTGCCTCCGCATTCCTGTTCTCCCCTAATCTAAGTTGCTAGGTTGAGCCAGCATCACCTCTGCATTCTCCCGACCATTTCTCCTTCTCTGCTTCTCCGAGGCCCATCCCATCTCTGTCCTCTAGCACATTTCACCAGAGTGCGTCCGTCCAGCAGCCTGCACCCTGGCTCCTTGCTGGGGGAGGGGAGGTCATCTCTGTGTCCCTGTCCCCTGTATGGTGTAGACATGGCCAGTGCCCTTCTCTCTTCTTCTCCTTAGTCCCGGGCTTCCTCCCCAAGGCTCTGACGTGGCCCGGGGCTGCTCTTTCTCCAGCGCGGGCACCGGCCGCACAGGTTGCTACATCGTCCTGGATGTAATGCTGGACATGGCAGAGTGTGAAGGTGTTGTGGACATTTACAACTGCGTGAAGACCCTCTGCTCCCGGCGTGTCAACATGATCCAGACTGAGGTGCGGGGACCTGGCCCTGTCCCCACCATTACTTCTAGGACTGGAGTTTCTCTTGAAGGAGCCCTGAGCCGGCGGGGCATGTCCAAAGGGTGTCCTGAGGCTCTTCCCTTCCATCAGATCATCCCTGACCTTCAGCTGCTATCCGCTTAGGGTCACCCCGGACAGCTCCCCTGTGTTCTGTTGGGTGGGGTCAGACCACGGGTCCTGTAGCTGACGTCCCTGGGATTGCATATTGCATCCTTACTGGATGTGTGACTGTGGCTGCTCCCGCCTCTCAGAGCACCTCACAGGATTGTAATAGGGGCTAGGGATGCAATAGGAGATAAAGGCACATGTCCATGGAGGTTGTTTCATTAGGTTTGGTCCAGCCTGTAGTAACACATGGTTGGCTTCCATCTTGGAGCACCTTCCTCAGCCTTGAGCTTGCTTTAGCCCCATCACCATAGATTTGCAGCTTCTGTGCCCCTCCTCGGCCTCATAGTCTCGCCTCCTATTCCAGGAGCAGTACATCTTCATTCACGATGCAATCCTGGAGGCCTGCCTATGTGGGGAGACCACCATCCCTGTCAGTGAGTTCAAGGCCACTTACAAGGAGATGATCCGCATTGATCCTCAGAGTAATTCCTCCCAACTACGGGAAGAGTTCCAGGTGGGGGACGAGTGTGTGTGTATAGGGTGTGTATGTGTGTGTGTGTATTTGTTGGGGGCATCTTCAATACTGCAGGAGTCATTGAGGGTCAAGAAGCAGGCCCAGCCTGAGACCACAGCTGGAGAGACAGAGCTGAGCTACTAGGAAGGACTTTGGGACAGTGGGAGAGGGGGTGCACCAAAGCAGTTAAGAGCCCAGGCTTTGAAGTCAGATAAACCCAGGTTCAAATCCTGGCTGACCTAGTTAAGAGGGTGAGTATTATCCTTGAACAAGCCCCTGTACCCTCTGAGCGTCAGTTTGTTACTCAGAGAAGAAAAGGAGCTGATGTGTCCCTTGGAGTGTTTGTATTCATTGGGATTCTTTGGGTTGTGAGTGATAAAAATCCAGCTCTTGTAATTGAAAAGTCTGAGAATGGCGCAGCTTCAATTGTGACTGGATCCAGGGGCTCAGATGATGATGCCAACACGTGGTTTCTCTCTGCCTGGGTTCTGCTTTCCTGTTTTTGGCTTCATTTTCAGGCCTGCGCCTGGCCCCCAGCAGTGCTGGGCTCCCATCATCTCTATTGTCTGGTGACTTTGGAGAAAGGCAATTGCTGCTCCCGGCATCCCCCCAAAAGTCCTAGATCAGACTCTTAGGTTCCCATCCCTGGACCAGTGACAGGCCGGAGAGATGGAGCTCGCTGATTGTCCCTGGCTCTGGGGCAGGAGCAGCCTCACCATATTACACAGCTGAGATGGGAAAAGGCTGGTTCTCCAGAGAAGCCTGAGAGTCGTCATTGGGTGGGCAGAGAGCTCAGAAGTCCTCTCCACTCCAGGGTTCCCGCAACGGCTCAGCAGGATGGCACATGCTGGGGACCCGGCATTTCTGAGCCAGCAGAGGGTGATCTCACAGGAGGTGCAGGCTGTGATTCCCGGAGGAGGGTGTTAGGCTTTGGGGATCATGAGAGACTGCGGTTCCCTGTGAGTTTTTTCCAAGAACAAGAGAAAGAAATAGCCCCTGGTCTGGACGTGAGGTGTGAAGGCACCGGGCGGAGGAGATGCCCCGGAGATCCGGGCATGATTCAGTGCCCACTGCTTACGATTTCATCCTGTTTAGACAGGGCCATGACCAAGGAAGGTGACCCCCATCTCCAGGTGTCTGGAGTCTGCTTTGTGGAGGGCGTGGGGTTTCAGGGTTGCCTCAGTGAAGGTGCTGATGAGCTAGTGAAGATCCTCACTGTGCCCATGTGTGCCCAGCTCAGCTCAGTGCTTGTCATGATCTCACTTTGACCACCCAGCAGCCCCACGAAGTAGGCATATTACTTCCCTATCTTGCAGTTGAGGAAACTGAGGCTGAGAGATGCAGTAGCTTGTCAGAGGTTATGTGGGTGGCAAGGAGGTAGACTCTGGTCTCTGTCCAGGCCCTCCATATCCTAGAGACGGGGAGTCTGGGTCCCTGCCCTGTCTCCTTCCCTCTGGACCTCAGTTTCTCCATCTGTAAAATGGGGTTAGTAGCTCAACCCAGCCTCCTTCACGGGGATTTGAGGAGGCCCAGCAAGCCCTGGATATAACTTTGTCCCCACCCTCGCTCCTTGTAGACGCTGAACTCGGTCACCCCACCACTGGACGTGGAGGAATGCAGCATCGCCCTGCTGCCCCGGAACCGTGACAAGAACCGCAGCATGGACGTCCTGCCGCCCGACCGCTGCCTGCCCTTCCTCATCTCCACTGATGGGGACCCCAACAACTACATTAATGCGGCCCTGACTGATGTGAGAGCTCGGGCTGGAGTGGGCTCTAGGGCTCCCCTTCCCGGCAGCATCACGGAAGGTCCAGGGGCCAAGGGAACAGAGCTGAGGGCTCTGGTTGGGGGACCCTCTGCCTGTTCTGGGGAACAGGCCCATGTGTGACCCTTCTACCCCTAGGGATCTTCCATTCGGGGCATTCAAGCCAGTTCCCCCCACACTCTGCCTGAGTGGGGTCTGGGTTGTGGAGTTCAGGCAGGGCTGTCTCCAGGATCAGACCCAGCAGAGCCTGGGGCAGGATGAGTGATTCAGGGGGCTTTGCTGGGGAGACCTTGAGGGTTTGGTGATGGAACTTGAGACCTGATGTCTGGAGCCAGGGGAGCTTGTCCTGGGAGAATGAGCTGCAGTCTTCTCCAGGACCAGGCCCAGGACCGTGATCTCTGGCCCCATTCTTCCCTGGGTGAGCGTGGGCCCTCTGAGGGCTCAGGAGCCATTTAGAAGTCTCCTTCCCTGCTCCCAGCTCAGGGGCTCTGCCTCCTTTACTGAGTGTTGCAACCAGTGCAGGGGATGCGTGTTGGCATTTTAGGCCCGTGATAAATGGCGAGTTGCTGCTGTCTGAGGCGGGAAGGGTCATGGATTATTATCCCTATTCCTTTCCCACACTGGAACCAGTTCAGATGTAGACGCAGGAGACACATGGGTGGAGATCAGATGTTACAGATAAAACTGCAGATGGAGTTGGAGATATGTGGCCAATGGGGGGCTGCTCCTTTGCCCCTCCCCATCAATATAGCTATACAACCTTGGGCCTCCCTTCCCCATCAGGGACTGGCCTTTACTGGCAGGGAGGAGGAGCAGTTGAGTGCATGCTTTCTGAGGGTTGTCAGTCATGGTCACTCAGCCTGGTGGCTGGCACGTGAGTGCCCACATGCTCACCTGGGGACTTCTGGCCTGTGGGGGGTCAGGGGTCCTAGAGGGGTGGCATGCAGTACTGGGAAGATGAACTAAGGAAGCTGTGCCCTCCCTCCCAGCCTCCTCCTTGGCCTTAGCGTGCCCGTCTGTAACTGGGGGCCTCGAAGGGAGACTGTCTGAGGGTCCTGAGCTGGGGCTTCCTGGCCCTGACGGGTGGGCTCTCACGTGGGGAAGTTCTGGGACAGCCCTGTCCCCTCCTGAGGTTCTTGATGCCTCTGATGCCTGACCCGAGTCATGTGGGTCCTGTTGGCTCAGGAGCCAGGAGGCCCCATTTCTCAGGCAGGCCCTGAACTTGTGGCACCCAGGCCTGAGTTTTGGAGTCTGGCTGGGCCTGGTCTTGAGCTGTCAATCATGAGCCTTCAGAGAGTCCTGGAGAGGGACTGCTGGGGGAGTAGGGAGCACTCCTTGTTTCTCTGCACTGCACCTTGCAGGATTACAAAGGGCAGATCAAGATTTGGTCGGGCCCAAGCCAGGGTCAAGGCCAGAAGAAGTCAGACAAAGACCTAGCCTGTGCCAGCCCTAGGTCAGGAGGAGGGTGGGGATCAGGAGAAGAGCTCAGGAAGGGGAGGGGGCACGGCACAGGGTGGAGCAGGGCAGGCTGCCAGGGGAGCCTCCGGGCCAGAGCGCTGATGGGAGGAGGCCTGGTGCCGGCCCCCCTGGCAGGACGAGGGAGCAGGGAGCAGCGTCAGGGCCGGTCACTGCCTGGGGAGCCTGGGTTGGGGCCCCAGATTCTTAATTTATGGAGTTGGAAGGGATCTAGAGATTTTTTCAAATTATTTATTGAGCCCCTCCAGGGTTCTGGGCAGAGACCATACCCTGGAAGCTCTGCTCTCCTGAACTTTGCTTTTAGGAGGTGGAGTGGGGTAGTCAGGAAATAAATATACAATGAAATGTCATCACTGGGAACAATTTCTACAAAAACAGCCAGGCGGAAGTGTTTAATGTGGATTTAGGTGTGTGGGGGGCTATTTTTGATGAGGTGGTAGGTGGTAAAGAAGGGCTTCTTTGAGGAGGTGACAAGCAAAGGCCAGAAATAAGTGAGGGAGAGAGCCATATAGACATTGGGAAATTTGGCCTAGGCAGCCAAAATAGCAGATGCCGAGGTGCGGAGGCAGGGAGATAGCTCGGCCAGCCTCTGCCTTGAGCTCAGCCTCATGCCCAAGCTCTCCTTGCCACACCTTTGGAAGCTTTTGCTGTTCAGTTCTGGGGGGTCATGGGCTTGGTCCCCAGAGGCCTGGGCCCAGCCTGTCAACCCAGGCCTCCATGTGCCCGCCAACATCAGAAGTGGGCCACTGGAGGCAGCCTGGTCTTGTGGAGCACAGCTGTCCAATTCAGGGTGGGCAGGGTGGGAAGTCTGCCTGGGGCAGAGGCTCAGCCCATGCCAGGGGCCGGAGACAGAACCCCGCTGAGTCCCAGTTTTCCTGCAGAGCTATACGCGGAGTGCGGCCTTCATCGTGACCCTGCACCCGCTGCAGAGCACCACGCCCGACTTCTGGCGGCTGGTCTACGACTACGGCTGCACCTCCATCGTCATGCTTAACCAGCTGAACCAGTCCAACTCCGCCTGGGTGAGGGCTCTGCTGGCTGGGCCGAGGGGCTGCCTGCTGCTCGGGTCCTCTGTGTTCAAGGGCATGGTCCCCAAAGTCACGAGTTAGGTCCTAGCTCTGCCATCTCTTTGCTGTGTGATGAGTCCTACACCTTCCTAGAGCCTCAGTTTCCTCATCTGTAAAACAAGGGCATCAGATGGGAGATCACTAGTTGCTCTTTTTCTTTTTCTGAGACAAGGTCTTGCTCTTTTGCCCAGGCTGGAGTGCAGTGGCACGCACACAACTCACTGAGGTGTGTAGCCTCGACCTCCTGGGCTCAGGCCATCCTCCTACCTCAGCCTCTGGAGTAGCTGGGGCTACAGGCTGCATCACCACACCTGGCTGACTTTTTAATTTTTATTTTTAGTAGAGGTGAGGTCTTACCATGTTGCCCGGGCTGGTCTCGAACACCTGGCCTCAAGTGATTCTCCCATCTCGGCCTCCCGAAGTACTGGGATTACAGGCATGAGCCATTTGGCCACAGTTGCTCTTTACTGGCCCCTTGCTAAGCCAGGGACTATTCTGCACTCATGGTCTTATTTAGAATCGATAATGACCTTGGAGTGAAGGCCTCAGTGAGAAAATTCAGACCCAAAGAGGTGCAGGGCCTTCTCCAGGGCCACATAGCTGGGGATGGGCAGAGCTGCGCCTCAGCCTCGCTGCCTCTTTCCAGAGCTCCTGCTCCTTCAGTTACTCCACTAAAATGCCCATCACCGGGGCCTCCGAGGTAGAGTACAATTCCTGTCTCCTACTCCCTGACTGTTTAATCTAGGGTAAGTTGATTGACATTTCTGAGTTTCACTTTCCTTCTCTGTAAAATGGGGGTCATCACAGGACCCGTTCTTTCGGGGTTACTGTGAGGACCAGGTGAGGTGCGCATAGGATGCGTGGCACTGCCGTGTCTGGTGTGCAGTAGGCATGTGGTACGTGGCAGGGACAAAGATGATGAGGGTGACAGCTGCGTCTGAGGTTGACTCAGACCCTGGTTCAGTGACCTCAGCCTGGTGTCAGTCCCTCTGTCTCCCCCATTTTCCTTTGGAGCTCTTGAGAAGTACAGACACCCAGTCTTGCAGCCCTGCTTGACCACGTGGACCCCTTCCCACCCCAGCTTTCTGCTGGGCCCAGGGGGCCAGGAAGGTTTGCTGTAAAATGAGTACAACAGCTTCTTAATGGCCTCCTGGAGAAGATTTCGTTCACTGTGCTCTTTATGAGTCAGGCGTTCTGTGAAAATGACCCAGGACTGCAGGGTAACGGGCCTCAGTCCTTGGGTGCAGCAGGAAGGTAGAGGGGAGAGGCCCAGAGGGAGGCTCACACAGATATCATTCACTGGACACCGATTTGCTCATCTGCTCAACCAACTTTGCCCGTGAACTTCTCCCTGCAGTGGGCAGGGAGGAGACAGAGGGAGAAGAGACACAGCGCCTCCCAGATCTCATGGTCCAGGAGGAGACAGGTAGAAAAACTGACAGTGACAGCACAGACGAAAAAGGGCTATCATAGAGCTGGCACAGGGACAGAGAAGCCCAGGGGATCATGTATCAGGGATGGCTTCCTGGAGGAGGTAGTGTCAGAGCTGAGATGTGTGGGAAGGGCAGAGTTAACTAGGTGAGGAGGTGGAGGAAGAGAGCCATGGAGAGGGAGCAGCATGTGCAGAGTTCTGAATGCACGGGGTTGCCAGGACACGAGGCAAAATGAGGTAGGTGCTGTCTGCCCGTCATGGGCTGTGGTTAGAGGAGACTGATGAGCACGGTGTCTTTTTGGAAGAGGTTGGGGTCATTTTACAGATGGGGAAACTGGGGCCAAGAGAAAAGAAGAGCCTTTCCTGGGCTCCAGGCAGAGCTGAGACTAGAAACTGAGGCTCAGGCTACTTAGCCTGGAGGACGTGTGTGTGTGTGTGTGTGTGTGTGTGTGTGTGTGTGTGTGTGTATGTGTGTGTGTGGTCGGGGAGCTGCATCTCCTCTGTCCCTCCACTGTCCAGAGTCTGGGCGGGGGTTGTATTTAGGACCCTGACTCCAGGGAGGGGTCCTGGGGCAGAAGTGAGGGTATTGAGCTGTGTTAAGCACCAGGGACACCGCACCTCTGTGAGCTGGTGCTGAAGGGCAGAGGCAGTGAGAGAGAAGGCTGTGGGGAAGTTCCGGGGTGGGTGGGAGGGATCCAGGCCTAATACTGGAAGCAGGCAGCCTACGTAGGGGCGTATGAACCGGTTAAGGTGTAGCTTTCTAGCTGCACAGCAGTAGGCATCAGTGCACTGTTTGTGAAGGGCTTGTCTTGGCTGATGTGAACATGTCAGTACAGGACGCACTGGAGCAGGTGGGCCTTGCAGTCTGTGGGTGATTGGTGGGGACTGGAGGACTGCTGAAGGTGAGTCTGGAGTGGAGTCTGGGTGGTCCAGGGTGTGTGGGAGCCACAGGGCAAGTGTGGAGCCCTGGGGGTGGGCATGGCTGTGGGCTAAGCCCCGGCCAGGCTCTACTCAGCTCTCCCATCTCTGTGCCCATGCCCAGCCGTGCCTGCAGTACTGGCCGGAGCCAGGCCGGCAGCAGTATGGCCTCATGGAGGTGGAGTTTATGTCGGGCACAGCAGATGAAGACTTGGTGGCCCGAGTCTTCCGGGTGCAGAACATCTCTCGGGTGAGTAGTCTGAGGAGCCCCAGGGGAAGACCCTGGGTGGTGGCTGGGGCAGCTTTTAATGACCCTCCAGGTCATCAGGGGCCCCTGTGACCCTGGTGCTCATGTCCCCCTGGCTGGCTGCCTCTGTCCCCAGCTGCAGGAGGGGCACCTGCTGGTGCGGCACTTCCAGTTCCTGCGCTGGTCTGCATACCGGGACACGCCTGACTCCAAGAAGGCCTTCCTGCACCTGCTGGCCGAGGTGGACAAGTGGCAGGCTGAGAGTGGGGACGGGCGCACCATTGTGCACTGCCTGTAAGTACCTGCCCTGCGGGAGGGTGGGTGGAGGGGTCAGGGAGCCAGGGGCAGAGGTCCAGTCTGAAAGGGTGCCAGCTTTGGCTAGACTGCAAAGCTGGCACTGACACCCCTGGACTCTCAGATGGCTGTGGCCTGGATGCTGCCCAACCAGCCGAGGCTGGCCCTGGAGGAATCCAGTCAGTTTCGAGAGTATAGACTCAGCCCTGAACAACTCCCAGTGTCCTCTGTGTGATGTCTGACTTTGCCAATTTAATTAAAGAGAGTCCTTTGTCAGAATTTTTTACCCCATGAGATTGTGGCACACTTTTTATGCCAACAGACTTCCAGTCTGTTCATGCATGCACACATGTGACTTTTTCCATGCATCCATCCACCCACCCACCCAACCACCTACCCATCCATTCGTATGTATACCCCATTCATAAATTCATGTATTCACTCATGTCCAGGTGCAGTCACTCCTTTGCACCCCACTTTTTCATCCTTTCAGCCCTTAGCCTCTCGAGTGGCAGACTGGGCCTACCGGAAGCTGTGGGGAGCTGAGTCAGTCTGGGTCTGGCCCCAGGGGGTTTGGTTCTGGTGGGAAAGACCTCTGAGTAGGGCACGAGGGCCTCATGAGTCTGCCATCCCCCAGGAGGTATCCCGCACGTTATGTGGAGTCACAGGGAAGGAGGGATGGGGCTCTGTGGGAGGCTGTGGGCTTGACTTGGGGTGGGGGTGCATTTGTGCCTGTGTGCCCGCGTTGCCAGGTGGTGACTGGTCTTCTCAGCGTTCCTGTTCCACCGTGCTCTCTGGGAACGCACTTGCTGCTCCCCCACCCTTCTTCGTCACACTGCCTTTGTCTCTCTATGTGTTTATCTCGGATTGTGTCTGGCCTCCTTTCAGAATATGTAGTCTGTTTCGCCTTGAGAACATGTCTTCTGATATGTCCTAGCCTCTGGTCCTGCCGCTCACCTCTGGGCCCTCTGCCCCTTCCTCTGGGTCCCCTAGCTCCGCCTTCACCTCTGGGTCCTCTGCCCTGCTCTTATGAGTTCCCTAGCCGGTCTCACCTAGGGCTCTTTTGCCCTTTCTGAGTTTCCTAGCCCCGCCCCCCACCTCTGGACTCACTCATTTCTGAGTTTTCTAGCCCCGCCCCTCTCCCCTAGGGTCTCTGGCTCCTCCTTTCTGTGTTCTCTAACTCCGCCCCTCACCTCTGAGCTCTCTGCCCCACCCTTCTTGATTCTCTAGCTCTGCCCCTCTCCTCTAGGCTCTCTGCCCTCCCTCCTGGTTCCCTAGCCCTTTCCTTACCTTCAGGTTCCAAGACCCCGCCCCTCACCTTTGGCTACTGAGCTGCCCCAACATGCATTGTTCATGCATGCACACATGTGACTTTTTCCATCCATCCATCCATTCGTATGTATGCCCCTTTTTTGCATCTCTTATTTAGAAATGGGGGAGGACGCAGCGGTACCTTCTGCGCCTGTGCCACGGTCCTGGAGATGATCCGCTGCCACAACCTGGTGGATGTTTTCTTTGCTGCCAAAACGCTCCGGAACTACAAACCCAATATGGTGGAGACCATGGTGAGAGGCTGTATCCCATGCCCAGCCACTTTCACCTTCCTGGTCCATGCCAGGCTCCTTAGCACCCACACTCCCCTGTCTGGGCCCCACCATTGGGCCTTGGCTCTAGTCCTGTGGTCCTCAAACATTACCCCATTTCCCCACGGCTGGGCCTGGGCTCATGCTTGCCCTTTCCCTCCCTGTTCTCCTCCCCTGACAATACTGGAGTTGGGGTCAGGCTCATGACTCCCTCCCTCTCTTCCTCCTCAGGATCAGTACCACTTTTGCTATGATGTGGCCCTGGAATACCTGGAGGGACTGGAGTCAAGATAGCGGGGCCCTGGCCTGGGACACCCACTGCACACTCAGGGCCAGACCCACCATCCTGGACTGGCAAGAAAGACCAGTGCCTCCTGCCCTGCCCAACCGCACCCCTATGGGGCAAGCACTGGAGTGGATGCGGGGCCATCTTGCTGCCCTTTCCGCTGTGGGCAGGGCCCTTCTCTTTGTTCCATGGACAGGTCGTGGGCAAAGAAGGAGCTTAGCAAGTCTGCAGCTGAGCCCCATCTCCACAGGGTCCTGCAGACCTGTGCTGAGAGGCCTGGTGCTGCCTGGCAGAGTGACAAGGGCTCAGAATGGCTGGCTCTGGGGGACTCAGGCCATGCCCCTTGGCTCCATCCTGGCCTTTGGCAGGGATGAGTGAGGCCCTGCAGAAAGCATCCCAGGCCAGAGTTCCCACTTAGCCTGCCCCCTCTGCATGTGGGTAGAGGGTGGCTGGGGCTTGGCAACTAGGATTCCATCTGGCCCAGCCCCTGAAGGTCCTGGGGAGGTGGGACTCTGTTCTGAATAGCCAGCGGGGCACACTGACTGTCTTCTCCGGGGAACTGCCGCGCCCTCCTCCCCACTGCCCCCTGCAGCCCCTGGGGTACTTTGCTCACCATCCCTCCCCACTTCTGCTTCCCTGACGTGCTCTGAGCTTCCCTGAACCAGGATCTGCCCATTCCTACCGTGCCCCACAGGGGCTCCTTCCCTGCCTGACCCAGTGTTGCAGAATGAAGTCACCTCGCCCCCCTCTTCCTGTCATCTTCAGGCCTCACTGGCCTGTCCTGCTCAGCTTGGGCCAGTGACAGTCTTCAAGGCTGAACAACCACCCCCGGGTTTGAGGTCCCTGTGGCTCCTGGTCAGGCTGCCATTGTGGGGAGGGGCAGTGTCAGAGCAGGGCTGGTCGGACCCCCTGGAGTTGAGAGGATGAAGGAGGATCAGTGCTTTTTTGTTTCTTTTGTTATTTTTGGATGGGTGGGTGGGAAGGTCTCTTTAAAATGGGGCAGGCCACACCCCCATTCCGTGCCTCAATTTCCCCATCTGTAAACTGTAGATATGACTACTGACCTACCTCGCAGGGGGCTGTGGGGAGGCATATGCTGATGTTTGTAAAGCGCTTTGTAAATAAACATGCTCTCTGAATGCCACTGATGGCCCTGTGCGTGTCTCACCAGCCTGATGGAGCCTGCTCGCCTGCCCCCAGCCTCCAGGGAGGGCCCTGGAGAAGCCTGGGTTCTGATCTGGTCTTGGTTTTTCCATTCGTAAAATGCTGGGAGTATAGACCAGCACCTCACTCAGGGTCCTTCCACTTTCAGAGTCAGTTCCAAGGGACCCTGGCCATTGTTGCCTCCACCCAGGCCTCTGAAGCAGTTCCTCAGGTTGGGGGCATCATCTCAAGAACCCCGAGGACCACAGAGCTGCTCCTCACCCCACTGGGGGCCCCGGATAAGGTTCAGCTCTTTCTGGGGCAGCAGGGGAGGCTCAGGCTTTGGTGTCAGGCAGATGGGCTGCAGAAGCTGCGAGCCCCTGGGTGAATTAGTGCCGTCTCTGGGGCCCACTTTGTCATCTGTAAAGTAGGGACAGTCCTGTTAGGATCAGATGAAGTCATGATTGAGTGCCTTGTGCAGTGCCAGGTGCGCTGAAAGGGCTCACTTCACAAACATGGCAGAGATGGGGGCAGAGGAGACACAGCTCTGCTGAGGATGCCTGTCCCTCTGCCCCAGCCCAGCCCATTCCCAGCCCTGGCCTCCTTGTGGGGTGAGGAGGGAGGAGGAGCGGGCTGGCTGGTAGGGACCTGGGTCACTCCTGGCTCTGTCACAGACTTGCTGCCTGACCTTGGACAAGACAATTCCTGTTTCTGGGACTCAGTTTCTTCATATGAAGGCTGACTCTATGATGTGCTCATTCTATTTGTACACTGGCTGACCTGTGCCTCACTTTCTCCATTGGTCAGAGGATACAACCCATTCTAATGATCTCACAATTCAGCATACTGGAATCTGAGTTAAAAATTAATTGGCCAGTTAGGGTTGCACTTGGCTAGGGCAGAGAGTGACCCCCTCACCCTCATTCTGAGCTGACCTCTGAGCCTTATGCGATGGATCACAAATGTGTGTCACGGGTACTGGCCAAGCGACAGACTATGACTTGCGTGGCCCAGTAACACGGGGCAGAAGCAACGGCATGTGAATTCTGGATCCCAGGCCTCATGAGGACTTGCAGTTTTTGCTTTTGCTCTTCTGGAACTCTGCTATGCAAGGGAGCCTGTCTCGCCTACTGGAGGATTTGAGGGCACACAGAGGAGCATCGTGTGCCATGAACAGTTCGTATCAACTCTCAGGCTGTGAGTCAGGCTGTCTTGGGCCTTCCAGTCTAGCTGACCTGTCGGTAAGTGTAGCCACCTGGCTAAGCTTAGAAAACACTGCCCAACCAACCCCTAGAACTGGGAGAGATGATAAATGTTCTTCCTTGAAGACAGTCTGTGGGGATCACTTGTTACATACACAGTTAGCTTTTGCTAACTGATACATGTGTGTGTGGAGCAGTCTGGATGCGGCTCTGCTCTTTGCCCTGTTGAATGCTGAGCTCCTCAAGGGCAGGGAGTGTTTCTGTGCCATCTTGTATCCATTGTCCAGTAAGGGGCTTGTCTTGGAGCTGGTGCCCCGGAAATGTTGGCATGAGGGAGGGAAGGAAGGAGACGTTGGACTTGCCTGCCTGACTGACCAGGGGCCTTGTGTGGCCTCTCAGAGGAGCTGGGGAGGTGGGCTGTGTTTTAGGAGGAGCACTAGGTCCAGAACCTACAGCCCAAGGTGCCACCCCAAGCTCCATACCCCACAGTTGGGTGACCTTGCACAATCCCATAACAACCCTGCAAATATAACAGGACCTATCTGCAGGATTGGTTGTGAACTCACATGCCTCCGGTGCCTTCTACTGCTCCTACGAAATACTTAAAAGGAGTCAGCATAGTCCCTGGGGACATAATTGGCTCTCAAGAAAGGGCGTCTCACGCCATAATACTGAAGCCCCTGGATGATGAAAATGGTGATGGCCACCTTTCGTCTAGTGCCTATTCCTGTGTTACGAGCCCTCCCCCCTTCGTCTCTTCCTTAATCCACACAGCAGCTCTTTGCAGTGGGGATTCCTACCCCTTCATTTCAGAGATAAGACGTGGAGGCTCAGGGCAGTGAGTTTACTCACCCAAGGTCACCTGGCCAATATGTGGCAGAGCGGGGACTTGAACCCATCTTCAGGCTGACTCCCACACCTGGGCCTTTAACTGCTGTGCTCTGTGGCCTCCCTGAGGTCAGTAGCCTGAGAACCCCCTCAGTGCAACACCAGATGGGTAATTTGTGGCCTAAGCACTGCTTCCCAAGTGCTGTGAGATGTGTCAGAGGTGACGGCCTCTCGGACAAGGTGGCCTGGAGCACAGGAAGATGAATGGTCCAGCTGGGTTCTGTCCAGGGCCTCAGGCTGAGCAGGTGTGGGTAGAAACCTCCACCCACCCAGGCCCCAGCAAATAGGATTTCTACAAGCGTGGATGGGCCGGCTGCCTGTTACCAGCAGGAGCTAGGTTGTTTCTTTATGCCCTAATAAACTGGCTGTAGGAGCCAGCGAAAGCAATGATTACTTCTATGATCTCTCTGCTGGCCCCTGATTGGGACGCATTATATATCCCAGGCACCCAGGAGATGGAGCCATGACATTGATGGATGCCAAGGCCACTTGCAAGGCCCTCACTGGGAGCGGGGCCTGGCTGTTCTCTCTCCCTGGGCTCTGTGGACCTCCCTCCGCTGACCTCTGATGGACAGGAGCGTAATGAGCTTTGGTCTCAACACCCCCATGGCCAAGGGCAGTGCAGAAATAATGGAGTCATTGCATAGGCAGGAGCAACAGGTTCAAGTCAGGCAGTGGAAGGCGAGGACTTTGGACGCAGGGATGTGAGACAGCAAAGCTTTATTTGGCACTTAAACACACATTGCTTAGTGCTCTCTGTAGACTGTCATTTGTCAGTCTCCAGTTCCACCTGTGAGGTGGGTCCTGTGATCATTGCCATTTTACAGACCAGGAGACTGAGAAGCGTAGAGAGCTTAAGCAACTTGTCCTAGGTCAGGGAGCCATCAAGGTCACACAAACAGCAGCAACCAGCATGATCCTTTGAAAAAACAGGTCAGACCCTGTCACTCACCTGCTCCAACCCTCCAGTGCTGCCTCTTTGCATGAGCACTGCGATCCTGACCGCGACCTTTGAGGCACCCTGCCCTGGCTCTGCCCTCTCTGGCCACGTCCCTCCTGCATGGTCCTGCACACTTCAGCCTATTCTCTTCCCCCATCATGCTGAGCCCTTTGCATGGAACGCCCTTCTCCTGTCCTGCATACCTGGCTTCTGCCTGTATGTATCCCAACTCAGATGTCCCCTCCCTGAGGAGCCCTCCCTGAATTCCCTGAGTGGCCCTCCAGGCCTAAACATCTGCCTTCTTTATGCCTCAGTCTCCTGCCCGGTCTGTCCCTCACTGCTTTCTCGCAGTGGGTGATGAGCTTGTTCATTCACTGGGTGTTTGTTCCCACCAGACTGTGAGCAGCGAGAGGCCAGGGCCATGTAGGCCTTGTCCTCCTGTGTCCCTTGCACTGGGCACGTGCCTGGCACATGACAGGAACTCGATGAGTATTTGTTGAATGAATGAAAGTTGCAGAGCTGGGACTGGAGCTCAGGTTGGCCTGGCTCCAAAGCCTATACTCTTGAGCACATCATTTTTAGTCCTCGGATGACCACACGGCTTGATGTCTTGAGGCTGGGTTCCAATGCTGGCTTGGCTGCCACCATGCTGTGTGGCGCTGGGCAAACATCTGGGGCTTAGTCTCCTGATCTGTCCATGAGGAGGTGGGACTAGGTGCTTTCTATGAGTGTATTCTAAGTAGGACAGCATCGGGGTCAACATCCCTCAGATAATGGGGCTGACGTTGCTCAGGGGCCTCTGGGCTGACTGTAGTCTGAAGGGCCTGCACCCCCACCCTGCTGGTCCAGGTGATCACAATAGTGACTGCTGTGCGTGGTCCCTAGTACATTGTTCCTAATCTTTTCAGCATCCTGAGAGGTGGGTATCACCAAGCCCATTTGACAGATGAGAAAGCCAAGGCTCAGGGAACTGAGGATAGAGCTCTTCATGTCAGAGTTAGAAAAGAATCAGTCTCTGGACTAGAACTTGAGACTGACTCCAAAGCCAGTGCTCATGCAAACTCAGCAACAACAGTCGAAGCCTGCACCACAGCAGCTGCTTGAGGCTGCTCTCGACCCTGAGCCAGGCTGTCCTCCCAACTTTGCTCTAGCTGGCTCACCTCCACCAAGTCCCACCATCAACAGCCTCTCCAGGCGGCGGGCTGGCAGGCAGCGGGCTGGTGTGAAACACTGCCTGGTCATCCCAGTCTGCTGAATTCTCACCGTGAGGGCGGCCCGAGTCAGCGGGAGCGCAGGAGCTGAGAGCTCCTTTCAAGAAAAAGGAAACTTGACTAAGCTCACCTCCTACTCTCTCCCTGAGGTGGGAAGAGGGAGTCTGATAAGAAATGTCATTTTCTGCTCATTTCAAAGTGAATAATGTGGCTCTCTTGGGCTGTGTTTATTCTCTTGATGCACCCCTGTTAGAAGAGCATTGGGCTCAACATCCCCCAGAGACAATGGGGCTGGCATTGCTCATTAGTGTCCAGGCCACTGGCTGATGCGTCTGCTTCTGAGCCTGATGAAATCTTGGGTGTAGCCTGAGCTTTGGTCTGATGGGCCTCTGTGCTTACTTTGGCAGGTCCTTGCTTTATACCTAATGCAGATGTTGTCCCTAATCTTCCCAGAAATCCTGAGCGATAGATGTTACCAAAATCATTTGCTATATGAGGACACAGGTTCAGAGAGGTGAGGTGAATTGCTTAAGGCCGTATAGCTGGAAAAGAGCCAAGACAGGATTAGAAGCCATGTCGCTTGACTCCAAAGCCATTGCTCTTATAATTATTAGAGAAATACTGGCAGGTCTAAACCGCAACCACCTCAACTGCTGGAATTTTCTCTTGCCCATGAACCAGTGTGCCCTTTCAACACTCACTCAAGCTAGGCTCAACCACAGCCACGAACAGGCTTAGCTGAACCCACAGTCAAACAGCGC